AATGAACCTGTAAAGAGGCAATCGCAGTTTCACTATCCTTCAGCTTTTGTTGCTGTTCATCCATTAAAACTGATTTGGGTTCTAAAACAAACCTGGCCACAATTTATTAAGAGGAAAACACCAATTAGTAAAAAAAATAGAGATAAAAAAGGAATACAAAAATTGCCAGCAACTCATAAATCAAGAACAACAGATTTTTATCTAATTGTGTAGACAGATAGGTTATCCAGCACTCACGTTCTCCCTGCAAAACAATAAAAGACAGGTCATCACTCTCACTATACAATAACCCATGATTTAGCATGCTGGCAACAGTCATCAAAATCCATAATGCATGGACCTGGACACAGGACACCATCAAAATCCATACGCACGTGCTGATGCAACAAATTCTAAATGAGTAGGACACATCAACAAACAAATACTATGGTTCACCCAAAATACATATAATTTCATAATATAATACAATCAAACCCTTAGAATAACTAATCTTGACTCTAAGGCTGCAAATGAAACATTTATCTAACGAATTATAATAATCTATAATCATCCATGTTATATACACAACACAGAGGTATATAATTTAAGTGATCCATTCATCCTCATTCCCAAAACACCATGTAATTACCTTTAAGGGTTATACTCCTTTTTAAACTTAAAAATTGCATATAACTACTTTCAAACTGTGCTGCTTACGCTTTGGATGCTCTGGGATTACGTATTGGCAAGTCAACAGAATCAGCCAAGTGTCCAACATTATATATTTTATTATTCCAACAATTTATACGGCCAAGAGATGTGGAACATGGGACACTTGTCAGTGTCCAAGAAGCACTTGACACGTGCATGACACCTACAGGCAGCCTTCTTAGAGGTGTAGTTTCCTTGCTTCTTAAGACAAAATTCAGGAAGCAAAATGAACAACCTGACTACAAAGCTCTATCAAAACACAGACATTTTTATAAAGGAAGAGGTGGTAACCAAATGACTATAAATATGCATATGTATTCCAGTATAAGGATTAGTTTACAAACCTATCGATTTGTATGTATTTGTATCATCAGACAATTGTCGCAGTTCCTCCAAGGTTAAATAAGCACGTTTCTTTTCTCCTTCTTTGTTTCGCATCTGATTCTGAACCTGAAAGCCAGGAAGTTCCCCATCTCAATGGATATCTTTAAGTTTAACCCAACAAAAGTTAATAATCAAAGTAGTAAAAATCGCACAGACCCTCTGAGTTTTGACCAAATAACATGAACACCCCCACACATTTGAAAGATGACATGGAGATCCCATTCGACTTAATAATTTGTTGGTGTTAATGATTTCAACAAGTAAAATATTTTACCCTCCATTTGACAGGTCAAACTTAAATACATATAGAAAAGACCCAAACGTGCACCTAGACTCACAGTCAATAACTAGAAAACAGCTAGATTATTGTGGCATTAGGATTTGAAGAAGAAGAGAGATAAGGGGAAGAGAGAATTAGGAAAAGAGAGTAGTGTATTAGGTTACACCACTATACTCAACATATATATAGTTACAAAGTACAAAGTACTAAAATACCCTTAATCTAAGTAATTTAGGACTAACACGTAACATAACACTCCCCCTCAAAGTTGATGCATTGATATCTCTCATGCCCAACTTACAAACAATAAAGTGAAACTTTGCTACTAAGCTCTTTAGTGAAGATATTAGCCAATTGGTTTTATGATTTCACAAAAGTCATGCAAATCAAATCCTTATTTAATTTCTCCACGTGTTTAGTTCTATCATGTTGAACTGGATTCTGGGCAATGTTGATAGCAGCTTATTATCACAATATAACCTCATAAGTCCGTTATCACAAATTTTCAAGCTTTCCCAATAACATTTGAAGCCACATAAGCTTATAGATTCTATGGATTATTGCTATTTATTCAGCCTGTGCACTAGACCTAGCCACCACTACCTACTTATTGCTTCGCCGTGTTACAAGATTACCTCTAATCAAGGTGCAATAGCTTGAGGTAGATCGTCTATCATCCAGTGAACCTGCCCAGTCTGCATTGCTAAATGCTTCTAGTTTCAAATGGCCACTATTGGAGAACAAGTTATCTTTTCCTAGAGTTGACTTAAGATATCTCAAAATGCGATAAACAACCTCAAAATAATGCGTTCGAGGGTCATACATGAATCGACTGACAACACTAACTGCATAAACAATATCTGGTCGGGTATGTGAGACATATATTAATCTCCTCACTAGTCTTTGATATCCCTCCTTTTCTACTACCTCACCAACACCACCACACAATCGATGATTGACTTCAATAGAAGAATCTATAAGTTCCGGTGTCTCTAAGAAGGTTAAAAATATACTTTCTTTGGGAAATGAAAATATCTTTATCTAACCAGACAACCTCAATTGCAAAGAAGTATTTCAATGGACCCAAGTCTTTGATCTCAAACTCCTTAACCAACTGAGCCTTCAACTTGGAGATGCCATCCTCATCTATCTAAGATGAAAAACCTAGAGAAATCTCCGTGTACACCTCCTCCAAATCTTCCTTCATTCTTCACATCCAATTGCTGTAAATTCCACACCAAATTAGCTGCACAAGATATAAATGCACAAATGGAATTCATCTTTGCCACAAGATCAAAAGGCTCTTAATAATCAAAACCATAAATCTAAGTAAATCTCTTAGCAATCAGCCTAGCTTTGTACTTCTCAATACTCCCACCAACTTGTCATTTGACAGTAAACACCCATTTGCACCCTACTATCCATGCCCCAGAAGGAATATAAACTAGCTTCCATGTGTCATTCTTTTTCAAGGATTTTATTTCTCCTACCATAGCTTCTCTTCACTTAAAAACAATGAGGGTCTATTTTCAACCCTAAGAAATAGATACAGAAGACAGGTAAGAAACAAAGGTACGATAGAATAAGGACAAGGAATTACAAAAGACAAAGTTAGAGATAAGATGTTTAATACAAGCTCGCACACCCNCTTGATGTGGTAGATAAAATATGTTTAATACTTTTTTCCAATAAGAAACACCAATTTTATTAATAACCAANCGGAAAATTCAGAATCATCAACAACTGGATTATCAATAATAGGAGTAACAACTAGAGACTCATTACCTCAAAAATCATTGGAGGATGAAACTGGAGTTGGGGAATCTAATTGAGTCAACGACACATGGGTAATTTGTACTTTTTGATANAAAATAAAAAATTGGTACAAGGACAAATCAAAAGTGGACAAGTAGTCCAACCAAATGTTTAGTAAAAAAGCAAACGGCTTGACCATTGGATCCATGTTACAATTCACGGGGTGTCGTCNGAAATAAAAAATTGGTACAAGGACAAATCAAAAGTGGACAAGTAGTCCAACCAAATGTTTTGTAAAAAAGCAAACGGCTTGACCATTGGATCCATGTTACAATTCACGGGGTGTCGTCCAACTCGCCGTAAGATTAATATTTATGATATGCTCAAAAGGTTTTNTGGGCAATTGAATAAGAAGCTCATGATAGAACACCTTTTCCTCTATAGTGGAATTCTCCCCCCGAAAAAATATTTGGGTAATAGAAAAGAAAGACTCAAACCCACAAAAGGTAACATTCATACTCATATACATTTTTTGAGAGTATGACTAATAGCATTTATTCCCCTTTGAGAGGCAGAGTAATCAATAAAGACACATTGCAGAGCCTTAGGGTCAAGTTTCCACCTGAAGAGTTTGTAATCATGAACAAAGCAAACAAACCCAGAAACTTTAGGAGGAAGGGAAGAAATAGAAGGAATGGACAAAGACTCTAAAANTCCAACTCGCCGTAAGATTAATATTTATGATATGCTCAAAAGGTTTTCTCCTTGCTTTTGCTTATGATGGTGTGCAAGTGCAGAGGAAACAGTGAAAGTGTGGATCATCTATTTCTACATTGTCCCATTGCATTATCGTCATGGAATAAATTATTTGACTTGACTGGGCTTTGTTGGGTGGCCTCGCAATTTATTTCATCGTGTTTTGCTTGGATTTCAAAAGATTGGGCAAAAGTGGGAAAGGTGGGACTTTATGGCGTTGTGTTTATTTGCCATTATTTAGGTTGTTTGGATGGAAAGAAACTCAAGGATATTTGAAGATAAAATGGAAGTGATTAAAGCCTATGGGACCATGTTTGGGTTTCTTTTTGGGCTTCTGTGACAAATGACTTTGAGAATGTCCCTCTTTTTTCTATTACATCAAATTGGACAGCATCTTGTCATAGTTAGTGGGTGTTTTGGATGGTGCTTGAATGTGTATTGCTTTGCTTTTTGCCAACAAGTCTGTTTGTCATTTGGATTGGACGACTTGTCCAACTTTGCTCACATGATGTAACTTTGTTTCTTATCAAGAAAAAAAAAAGATATGAGTTNAAACCCAAGTAAGACAAGAATACCAATTAATAAAGATAACAAACCAACGACAACCAAGAATACACATAGCACAGTAAGTGCCCCACACATTAGAATGAATAATGACAAAATGAGCAGTACTTCTATTATTAATACTAGGGCAANTTACTTGAATTTAAATTTGGGTCAATATTTGAGTAAGGGCTGGAAATGATGTTACTATCCTATTCAATAAAATTTTTGGATTTAATAAATTTTCATATTCTGCTGAAAAAATGTGGATATCTACAAGAACTCAGCCTCAAACCACAAAAAAAACAGGAAACTACGGTTCTTTGACTACAAAGAATATTCATGAACACTAAGAATTCCTAAGACCCAGATTAACATGATACAAAAACCACATCAATAGCTTATTAACAAACAATTAATAAAAATTATAAGATAAAATTGAAGCATTGTTATAACAGGATTACAAATAATTCATAAGTGAACTCCCCTCACATACAGCCCACACAACCACTAAAACTGTAATTAGAAAGAATGATAATGACAAACAGTTGATAACGTAGAAAATTGCCTTCCAAGGAATCACAACAAATGATTATATCAACCAGCTCAATGATCCCTCACTCTGATCTCTAAGTATCCGAAGGACTAATGAACCAAATTGGTGTAAAGCTTGCAATAATTTGACAACTATTGTCAGCTGCAACAAAATTCTTTACAGCTTAAACTCACATAACTAAAGGACTTACATGTGTGTGTGCATGGATAAGACAAAGGTGGGAACGTGTCTGCTGTCTTCAAATTTGTGATGATGCATGGCAACAAGGTCAAGGCAAGAACAAAGAAAAAATGAAATGAACCTGTAAAGAGGCAATCGCAGTTTCACTATCCTTCAGCTTTTGTTGCTGTTCATCCATTAAAACTGATTTGGGTTCTAAAACAAACCTGGCCACAATTTATTAAGAGGAAAACACCAATTAGTAAAAAAAATAGAGATAAAAAAGGAATAAAAAAATTCCCAGCAACTCATAAATCAAGAACAACAGATTTTTATCTAATTGTGTAGACAGATAGGTTATCCAGCACTCACGTTCTCCCTGCAAAACAATAAAAGACAGGTCATCACTCTCACTATACAATAACCCATGATTTAGCATGCTGGCAACAGTCATCAAAATCCATAATGCATGGACCTGGACACAGGACACCATCAAAATCCATACGCACGTGCTGATGCAACAAATTCTAAATGAGTAGGACACATCAACAAACAAATACTATGGTTCACCCAAAATACATATAATTTCATAATATAATACAATCAAACCCTTAGAATAACTAATCTTGACTCTAAGGCTGCAAATGAAACATTTATCTAACGAATTATAATAATCTATAATCATCCATGTTATATACACAACACAGAGGTATATAATTTAAGTGATCCATTCATCCTCATTCCCAAAACACCATGTAATTACCTTTAAGGGTTATACTCCTTTTTAAACTTAAAAATTGCATATAACTACTTTCAAACTGTGCAGCTTACGCTTTGGATGCTCTGGGATTACGTATTGGCAAGTCAACAGAATCAGCCAAGTGTCCAACATTATATATTTTATTATTCCAACAATTTATACGGCCAAGAGATGTGGAACATGGGACACTTGTCAGTGTCCAAGAAGCACTTGACACGTGCATGACACCTACAGGCAGCCTTCTTAGAGGTGTAGTTTCCTTGCTTCTTAAGACAAAATTCAGGAAGCAAAATGAACAACCTGACTACAAAGCTCTATCAAAACACAGACATTTTTATAAAGGAAGAGGTGGTAACCAAATGACTATAAATATGCACATGTATTCCAGTATAAGGATTAGTTTACAAACCTATCGATTTGTATGTATTTGTATCATCAGACAATTGTCGCAGTTCCTCCAAGGTTAAATAAGCACGTTTCTTTTCTCCTTCTTTGTTTCGCATCTGATTCTGAACCTGAAAGCCAGGAAGTTCCCCATCTCAATGGATATCTTTAAGTTTAACCCAACAAAAGTTAATAATCAAAGTAGTAAAAATTGCACAGACCCTCTGAGTTTTGACCAAATAACATGAACACCCCCACACATTTGAAAGATGACATGGAGATCCCATTCGACTTAATAATTTGTTGGTGTTAATGATTTCAACAAGTAAAATATTTTACCCTCCATTTGACAGGTCAAACTTAAATACATATAGAAAAGACCCAAACGTGCACCTAGACTCACAGTCAATAACTAGAAAACAGCTAGATTATTGTGGCATTAGGATTTGAAGAAGAAGAGAGATAAGGGGAAGAGAGAATTAGGAAAAGAGAGTAATGTATTAGGTTACACCACTATACTCAACATATATATAGTTACAAAGTACAAAGTACTAAAATACCCTTAATCTAAGTAATTTAGGACTAACACGTAACATAACACTCCCCCTCAAAGTTGATGCATTGATATCTCTCATGCCCAACTTACAAACAATAAAGTGAAACTTTGCTACTAAGCTCTTTAGTGAAGATATTAGCCAATTGGTTTTATGATTTCACAAAAGTCATGCAAATCAAATCCTTATTTAATTTCTCCACGTGTTTAGTTCTATCATGTTGAACTGGATTCTGGGCAATGTTGATAGCAGCTTATTATCACAATATAACCTCATAAGTCCGTTATCACAAATTTTCAAGCTTTCCCAATAACATTTGAAGCCACATAAGCTTATAGATTCTATGGATTATTGCTATTTATTCAGCCTGTGCACTAGACCTAGCCACCACTACCTACTTATTGCTTCGCCGTGTTACAAGATTACCTCTAATCAAGGTGCAATAGCTTGAGGTAGATCGTCTATCATCCAGTGAACCTGCCCAGTCTGCATTGCTAAATGCTTCTAGTTTCAAATGGCCACTATTGGAGAACAAGTTATCTTTTCCTAGAGTTGACTTAAGATATCTCAAAATGCGATAAACAACCTCAAAATAATGCGTTCGAGGGTCATACATGAATCGACCGACAACACTAACTGCATAAACAATATCTGGTCGGGTATGTGAGACATATATTAATCTCCTCACTAGTCTTTGATATCCCTCCTTTTCTACTACCTCACCAACACCACCACACAATCGATGATTGACTTCAATAGAAGAATCTATAAGTTCCGGTGTCTCTAAGAAGGTTAAAAATATACTTTCTTTGGGAAATGAAAATATCTTTATCTAACCAGACAACCTCAATTGCAAAGAAGTATTTCAATGGACCCAAGTCTTTGATCTCAAACTCCTTAACCAACTGAGCCTTCAACTTGGAGATGCCATCCTCATCTATCTAAGATGAAAAACCTAGAGAAATCTCCGTGTACACCTCCTCCAAATCTTCCTTCATTCTTCACATCCAATTGCTGTAAATTCCACACCAAATTAGCTGCACAAGATATAAATGCACAAATGGAATTCATCTTTGCCACAAGATCAAAAGGCTCTTGATAATCAAAACCATAAATCTAAGTAAATCTCTTAGCAATCAGCCTAGCTTTGTACTTCTCAATACTCCCACCAACTTGTCATTTGACAGTAAACACCCATTTGCACCCTACTATCCATGCCCCAGAAGGAATATAAACTAGCTTCCATGTGTCATTCTTTTTCAAGGATTTTATTTCTCCTACCATAGCTTCTCTTCACTTAAAAACAATGAGGGTCTATTTTCAACCCTAAGAAATAGATACAGAAGACAGGAAAGAAACAAAGGTACGATAGAATAAGGACAAGGAATTACAAAAGACAAAGTTAGAGATAAGATGTTTAATACAAGCTCGCACACCCTTTCTGACTGCAACGGAAAATTCAGAATCATCAACAACTGGATTATCAATAATAGGAGTAACAACTAGAGACTCATTACCTCAAAAATCATTGGAGGATGAAACTGGAGTTGGGGAATCTAATTGAGTCAACGACACATGGGTAATTTGTACTTTTTGATACCAAGAATAAGTCTTCAGATTATCCTTGTGAAGGTGATCACCTTTCCCCTCAATAATCTAGTGCTCCCACTTCTTAACATTCCACTGAATGGGCAATTGAATAAGAAGCTCATGATAGAACACCTTTTCCTCTATAGTGGAATTCTCCCCCCGAAGAAATATTTGGGTAATAGAAAAGAAAGACTCAAACCCACAAAAGGTAACATTCATACTCATATACATTTTTTGAGAGTATGACTAATAGCATTTATTCCCCTTTGAGAGGCAGAGTAATCAATAAAGACACATTGCAGAGCCTTAGGGTCAAGTTTCCACCTGAAGAGTTTGTAATCATGAACAAAGCAAACAAACCCAGAAACTTTAGGAGGAAGGGAAGAAATAGAAGGAATGGACAAAGACTCTAAAAGACAGTCAATTGGGGACTTAAATTGAAGGATACTCGAGGGTAAACAATTAATCAAATAAACAGCAGCAAAAACTGCATTCTCCCGAAAGATTGAGATTGAGGAACATTCATAATAAAAATCAATGAACGACCAAACTCAACAAGATGATTATTTTTTCACTCAGCAACATCATGTTGTTTAGGGGTACTCACACAAGTAATTTGATACAAAATGTCATTCTCATTGAGGTAAGAATGAAATTCCCCATCAATGTACTCGAAGAATTTTGACTTTGACATCAAACTGAATACTCACAATTTTATGAAAAGATCTAGAACATGGAAAAACTTCACTTTACTTTATAATATATAAACCCAAGTAAGACAAGAATACCAATTAATAAAGATAACAAACCAACGACAACCAAGAATACACATAGCACAGTAAGTGCCCCACACATTAGAATGAATAATGACAAAATGAGCAGTACTTCTATTATTAATACTAGGGCAAGATAAAACCAACATTTATACTTGGCAAATTCACAAGCATCACAAATAAAAAATTCTTTAATACACTGTTTTACTAAACTAAGAAAAAGATGTTCTAAAACACCATATGAGGGATGTCCCAAATGTCTATGGCACTGCTGTAAGAGCTAATGGGCTAAATCTAGGAGTGTCAAAATATAACATGACTCGTTAACACGACACAGATGAGACACGAAGTTAAAAGGTTTGGGTCTTACTTAAACCACCTATTTAGTAAACAAGTGGACCTAACACGATACGATTAATAAATGAATTGAGTATGGGTAAAGTCAATCAGAAGAAATACACGTCATGGCTCGTTTATATATTAGTTATACAAATTTATAAACGAATCAAATATGGGTGGAGTGTTTTTCTACACGAAGCCGCCTCAACAGATACGGTTAACAGGCTAGTTGAAACACAATCTGTCTGAAGAGCTTGATAGGTAAACCAAGAAGAAGCTTCAACATCTAGTAGATACAAACCACCATATGTTCTACTAATGCCAATTGTTTTCTCCAATTTCATTTCCTAAAAGGTACAATGGGTAGGAAAGAAAGTCATGGAACAATTCAAAGATCTTGTAATACTGCTAACAATTAATAAATTAGTGAAAATTTTGAAAACATAAAGAACAAATGATAAAGATAAAGAAGGTGAGCAATTAATTAAACTTTTTCCAAAACTAGAGGATAAGGATTCATCTGTCACCTTAATTTTATCCTTACATGAACATGTATAATATAAAGAGAAAATACTAGAAAAATCTATCATGTGGTCCATAGCTCCAAAATCTATCATCCAAGGAATATTTGAGTATGGTGCAGTGAATATAATAGCAGATATACCTATATGAGCAAAGTTGGAAGAAGAGATAGGATTGTCACGTGTGCATGTGATCGTACATTACCACATCGGCCAAATGTGGGACGTCCAATCACTTAACAAAACTTCGTAGTATGTCGGGTCTTCCCACAATAGTCACATTAAATAACCTCAGCAACTATACCACTCATCTCAATAGACTTGGACAAGGCTGAACTCAAGTCACGCTAAGTAATAGTAGCCAATACAGACTACTCGGAGAAAGAGCATAAACCATAGCTATCCTTTGACCTCCTTGTGCTAAACGTGGACATAGACTTCCCATAAAATAGAAAATAGTGTATTGCCCAAAATTTGAACCTGAATCTAATTATACTCAAGATTAAGGCCAACAAGAAAATCATACACTCATTCTTTCTCCAACATTTACTAAAATTTGACAGCATCATTAGTACAATCCGCATAAAAACTCTGATAATAGTCAAACTCCTGCCACAAAGTAGTTAATGCAACATAGTACACTACAAGGATCTTATCCTTCTGATTAGTCTCCCGAACTTTCTTTCCTATGTTGTATGCCATAACATCATTTCTAGGTCTATCAATAGAACGGATTTTAATCCAAATCCAATCCGAATCAGAGTCCATTTAACCGGATGTAGATTAATATTTTAATCTGTTTATTCTAATCCAATTAAGTTTATTTAAACAGATTTGAATTTGGATACATATAAATCTAATCTGATAAAAATCTGATATGGTATGTATGTGTGTGTGTGTATATATACACTAGATATTGCACACGTGCATTGCACGTGAATTATTTTTGACAATAATTTTGATTTTATATTTATCATATCAATATATAGGTTAATTTGTTCAGAGCTAGAATATGATGAGAAATTGCCTCAATTGTGATTTTTGTAATTTATGGGTCCTCTTTTATAGTTTAATTATAAATATGGTAAAATACATTGACCACATACCCATATATAGCTACCACAACAATCTCTCATCTTTCAAAGTTTAAAGACAATAAATAATCGAACCAATTTGGCCTAGTCTAATTAATAAACCTTCCATAGGCCGCCCTCTTTTAGGATTCTATTATGCCCTCTTTCGGATTTCTTTTTAACTCTCAGTAAATGTTTTGTTCTTTTATATAGATGTATTATGCTAAACCTACAATAGTGATTTACCAATGCATACTCTTATTTGGTGA